TTTACCCTATTATGGATTAGCTGTAGCCACACTCTTCAGAAAACCAATGGGTGACATCACGTTGGGTTTGTCCACCTTTTTTATACAGTCAGTGAGCAATGCAAACCACATTTGTTTTTGTGTGTGACGCCTGTTTGTATCATTTATATGGCCTTGTTTATTTGCATATGAGATGAAATATTCTTTTGTCAAAAATCTAGACTGAAGTGCCAGACTAAATTAGAGCTGTTTCTAATTAAAAATGTTCATAATATAAAGCGTTTACAGTAGCTCATACAGCAATTAGTATACCTAAAGGTTCATTTTAAAATTTGGCAGAAACTCTGAAATAAAAAAAAAACCTGCATATTTTCAAAGAACATTGTCCATAACTTTACGGCACATGGGATCAGCCAATATGTATACATGCTTTTACATTTCTAAGATAAAAAGAAGAAATGTTAACTCATATAAAAGGTTCCTGATATTCTGAGCAGATTCATGTCTCATGAACAGTAATACCCCATTTTAAACACTTATAACGGCCAGATCAGATGATATAGTGTATATACTGTACAAAAATAAAATTTGCTATAAATGATGTATATTGGATATTTTCTTCCTGCAGAGAGCAGTAGGGGCATGCCTTTGCTATTCCTTCCTAAATGAAAAGAGTAGGGCTTGCGCATCTTCAGACTGACACATTTATACAGCTTGACGTGAGTAGGTGGATCATGATTCCTGCCTTGGTAGCTATCTTGTTTCTCCTCCCAGAGGATGCCATTGACTTCCACAGCAGTGAAGCCTCCTGCACTCAGTTACTGCAGGCCATCTGGCCACAGGTCAAAGCCTCACAGACAGAACAGTCTCTTCTACAGGGTCTGTACTGCACACTGTGCAACAGGCGTGTGTTATTGTCACTACACCACAGAAGGACAAGTGCTTTTGTAGCCAGTCCAGTAAAATAAATGTATCCCATCAAATACCTGGACCAATACAGCTACTTAGTGCCAGCAGAGGAATGGACAATAAATAACTGAATACTTTGTTTGGACAAATTATTTATTAAAAATTAAATGCAGAGGCCAGCTATTTCTTAGACAAATGAACTCTACTGAATGAATGACAACATATAAACATGAATATGCTATTGGTCAATAAAGACAGTGCTACTTGACTGTATTTCTCCGAGAGTAGATGGAGGGCAGTGTGTTGATGGTGGACATGAATCAGCTTGCAACGCATTCACGAACATGCATACTTCCCATTGTCTGAGGCAGCTGCACCCTGATAAGGTCTTGGATTGCACTGTAGTTTAAGTGAACCACAAAAGGCTTCCTTCCTCTGGTTGCCAATCTCCCACAGAGAAATGAAAAGACCAGTAGACGGCTGAAATACAGGGAGGAATTCTGGGAAAGGACTGGTAGGAGAGGTTCACAATAGGTGAGCCTTCTACTTGCAAGTACAAGAGAGATGCAGACATGCAGCAACAAGTCTAGTGAGACATAACATCTGGTCATGTCTGTCGGTGTAAAATACGCAGACAGGACAGTTAATATTCTGAGGTTTTGAGAGTTTTTGTTTGTTTGTTTTTTTGTCCACAGCTTACTGATGCAGTATCAATGTTTGTTGAGTTTGTTAAACTCAAGGTCTCTAATGCACATCAGGTTATTATCAAAAGAAAATAACAGCTGATATTTCAAAAGATGGAATCAGAGAAGGTTTTTAAATTGGAAAATTACTCACAGAATGAATTGATGATCAAAATAATTTTCTATCAATCAACTCACTGATTTATTGACTAATTGCTTCAGCTTGTTATTATGAGTTGACTCGATGACCAACAGGGTCAAGTGAAAACCTCTAGGTATAGCCTTTTAAAATGAATAAAATTTCACATCCACTCCCCTGCCCCTAATATGATATGCGCAGCCTCTTATAGTTATGTACTGCACAGATGTGGGGAATAGGACCTAAAACCTCCTCCTTTCCACAACTACTCCACCTTGGGGTTAATAAAATCTGTTGGTTACATGTGAATTTGTGGTTGGACAATTGCTTTTCCCATACTGTCAAATTAATACATAATATCTCCAGAGGGTACGAGACCATTTACTCTAACAGCTTCCACCCCTCACTCCTCTTATCAATATTATCAAAAGAAAACACCTCTTTTATGAAGGGGGATGAAACAGGGCGTCCTCCCTTCTGGCACTATGTGAAAGGACGAGGCAATGAGAGATCAATATGATTGTTCACCACAGAGGAAGTTGCATATTTAAGACCCTTCTGTATAAATGACATTTTTTTAAAAAAGCTGAAAATCAAAGGTAGAAGTTTGAGCTTCCAAACCAAATGAAAGGTTCCTTTTAAACTAAGTTGTACTTTACCACTCTTTTCATCACTCTTCTGGTGTCATTACAGTATTATATATCTACAGTACAGTATGACATTTGCATGGCAAGTAAACTACACAACATCTAGTCTTCAACTTTACTTTACCTTTGAGTGTGTTTGTGTGCAGTTGTGTCTGCTCAGCTCTATTAAAAATACCCTGTGGAGCTTCTGACCACAAGTAACTATTTGAAGCAGCATTCATTTGAGCAAGCTCTTATTTTGTAATAAACTGTATTGTGCATGCACAAAAGAATGCATCTGTAGGCATGCACATATACTATTTTTTCACATTGGAACATTTGGTTTCCTCTTGCTATCTGATCGACAGATGATGAAAGATACATGCAAAGAAACACAGTAATGCAACAACAATGGGAGCAATGGAGAGGTCAGCATGGCAACAACCATGGATGTAAACACTGATTTTTTTTTCCCTTCCTCATAACACAATCAATAACGGCATAGTTTGGTTTCAGAATAG